GAGTGGTACCCATTAAAATGAAAGACTTTAACGGTTTCAATGCGGTATTTATTAGTAAAACTTATTTGAAAATTATGTTCACTACGACCCGACGTTTCGGATGCTTTGCAGCAGCCATTGTCACGGGTAGACTGGTTTCTATAATTTTAAATAAGTTTAACTAATATATATCGCGTTTTGAATAGTTAGTGTTTTATTTAAATGTGTACTACTCGCGTAAACTACAGACAGTATTCCAAACACGGATATTTTCAATTCAATTTAAACATCTATTTTATATTATCCTTAATAAATATAAACTATTAATTTTTTACATAAAAAGCATTAATCAAATGACAATTATAACTAATAATATATTTATAGCTATTACAGGATGTAAGGTCATATCCGATATAAATGTTTTTCTAACTTAGTGCCCTGAAGTCAATGATCTAAGATCCGCGTTTTTTGTACAGAAGGAAACTACCCTATTAAATAGGATCATACATGCCAAAAGAACCTTTCCGCTAGTGATTGAGTTCAATAAACGTATATAAAATGCTAATTGCTTATCACAATTTGTGTAATCGATCTCGTCGCTTCAGGTCGTTCGCTGCTTAACTTTTTTGCACTCTATTTTTATCCCCAGTAAAACTGGTATAGTCATAATAATTATCACTGCATTGCAAAATGAAATGTGGCTTTCTGAATACAGTAATTAATTATTTATTGAGTAGAACTGTAATTAGTAGGACTTTAATATCAAATATTAGTAGATATATTTTTACTAGACTAGTTACGTAGATAGTTCGTTCGCGTAGAATCTTTTTTGTGCATCCAAATTTGTATTTGCGATCCTCTTTTTAAATTTAAGCTGTTAGCCATCCTTCTTGCAAGTTAATCTAATCTAAATAAAAGATAGACATATAGTGTCGTGGTCATTTTTTTACGGATAATTGTTAAACGCATGTAAATTGTCCCCGTTTTTGACACATTTTCCGCTGGATCTTTGCTCCTATTAATAACAGCGCTATAGCGCCTTTCTTGATATGCTCTAACATAAAAATAATTTTTCAATTCGAACCAGTGGTTCCTGAGATTATCGCATTCAAACAAACAAACAAACTCTTCAGCTTTATATATTAATATAGATATTAGAACTTTAAATAGTTCTTACTGCTAACTAGTAAACAACAAGCAAATGAAGTAATGAGGAAACTATAAAAGGCTTGTAAATATTAGATACATCCTTGTTAGCTCCCTGAAAACATCGTTAAGAAGGCAAGCGATCATAGAATAATAGCTACGCTGTAAAAGGCTTTATGCAGAAACAACCAATAATTGCGAAATGATGAACGCCTTCCGCCCTTATCTTGGCATATGTCGAGTAAATAGGAAAAGCCTAGAGGCTTTCTATTCGAATATATAAAATATGCAGATATCACAATATGTACCCACTTACGGCTGAGAAATTATATTGTTTCTGACATGTTGTTACAAAAATGCATTTGATTATAGCATCTACTAATGCGGTTTAGTTAATCATAATTATAAAATATTTTGATTTAGAATAATTTTAAGTCGACTGTTCAAACGTACCATATAGCAAGTAGTAAGTGTACTTACTGTCTGTAGTGTATGCGAGTTGTACAGATTTAAATAAAAAACTTTAACGGTGGACCCGTCTTATACGAGATATATAAACTACTTATTAACATTATTTATAATAAAAATTTTAAAATAAGTTTAACTAAAGTGTACTAACGTAAAAGATTTTTTTAACACGAAGGCTAAATTTTGAAATTACACTAAAACTCGAAGTTTGTTTTTTAAGTCTCGTTTTTATCATTTAAAAAGTCAAGCTGTCAACATCAACTACGGCTAGTACAATATTGATTCAATATTCAATAACCCAGTAAAGGTAATAAAACTTGTTTGCAATCAAACCCTTTGAGGTATCCGAATGGGAAGTGTTAATTATCAAGTGGATATCGCAATTAAGTTAATATCAAGTTTTCTCTTTATATTAATTTCATTAAGATTTTTCTCGTCGAATAAATTATTGAAACGGATGTCAATTTTATTCCCAATATGTTTTTTATTTGAATTATTAGAGTAATTCATACAGTTAAACATATAAGTGTGATAATTTATTCATGACTTTACGCTTATCCATAAAGTATCTGTACTTAACACGGACAATAGTTATATCCGTAAATATAGAGAATAAAGTTAAATTAAAAATATTCAGAATCGATCACTTAAGTGCCCTAATTGAAACACATTCAGAAATCTTAGATTCGAATCCTGAAAAAACGGAGAAAACTGCTATGGTCGCTACACATCTATGAAAGCATAAAGACATCTACCAATGTGATTAAATACATAGGGAGTGTGGTAAATCGTACTACAGGATTCTCTGTTTCAAATAGGAACATGTGCGGAGGAGAGGTTCACTGTTCCAGAGGTAACAGTGGTATCAATGACCACAATATAAACTACTACCCGCCTTAGTGCTTACGACCAACCTGGAAACACGTTTATAGTACTCCAAAGAAGCACTTACTTGTTTATTAATAAAATAGATAAAAGAACTAAGTTATGTGTCTGCCACAAGCTCCACATAAAAATACACACAATAATTGCGTGTAGGTTTAGCTGAGTGCACCCTTTAATCCTCAAAGATGTTGAAACCAATTATTCTCCCTGGACATGCAAGCAGAATAGCAATTACTCATGGTCGACGCCTCTTATCATCGTGTCAATTTTTCAAACACCCATTAGGCTTCCGTAAAACCCATTTGCGGGCGAGATAAGCAAGATTGATTCCGTAACTGCAGGACTGCATCAACTTTACTTGGACCGTACGTTGTATAATGAAGTTAAATTGTTCTGGCACTCCATAATCGTGAGCGAATATTTCTTGATCGTGGAGTATATTTTTACCGACCTAATTAAACATTTCTTGATATATTCTTATAATTTGCTTTGGCCAGACCGGTGGCATTACACCCTCTCTCTCGACCCTTGGCAGGGCTATGCTACAGAACGAAAGGAGATGGCGGGTTGTCAAAGACTTCTGTGGGGAGATATTTCGTAAGAAAGAAGAGAACAACCTCAGCGTGTTTTGCGCTGACAGATTGGTCTCACACTACTGAGTTTGAAGGACAAAAGTTTTGTACAAGATCACAACCGTTACCAACCTCCTTTTAACTGCGAACAATGAGGTTTTAGTGGGTGAGAGTCCCACACTGCCTACACCACCACCAGCCTTGGAGTAGGGGTGCATAATGCATTCCCCCCAATAAACAAAAATCTTAAATGGGAAAAGCAATAAATAAACGCCAAAGGTTGGCTTAACTCGACTTTATTTAATCCCATTTACGCGTCATTATTAATCACTTGCCGTGTAATGGAGTGTTTTGTTTGCATATTTTTGCATAGCGAGGTGGAACTACATATCAATTTGAGTGACATAAGACAGATACCCGAGTAAATTAACAATTAACACAACCAGTTAAATGTAAGTTGTGAAATGTTGTCTTATCAATTTTAATAATCAATTTGACATAGCCATACTCAATACGCTTTTTAATTGTAAATTGTTCATTTCAATATTTTTAGAATTAAAGAAATAAAAACAGCTTCAATTGAAACACAATTAAACTAAAGTTTAAAAAATGTATTACTTATAGAAAAAACAGAATTCAATTGTAGAAAAGAGAAATGACTCGTGATAGTATTATATCATAAAGGTGTCAATTAGAATAAAACACTTTAAAGTCACAAAATATAATAGTTAATATGTTTTGATTATGATCCGAAGTTTCCAGCGTTTAGTTAAACTAAATTAAAAATAAGTTAACTAATCTATTCTGCTTTTTAAACCACGAAGAACCGTGAACTACTCGCGTAAACTACAGAGAAAGTAGAAAATTAATATATACATTTAATTTTTCATCAATCGAAGGTTGACGGTTTTAGGTCCCCTCACGTTTAACACAATGCTCAGCAATACTAATAACCATTGAGCTATGAGGCCGGCAAATCGTCATTACATTTCATGTTTTACATTTCTCAAATAGTTCTTCTTAGGAAATTATGAACTTTTCCTTCATCCCTAATTACTCGTCGAACTAAATAATTACATCAATTACAATACTGGTTATATTGGATTTTGCCTAACAGTGGTCAAGAATAGATTTATGGTGTTGATATCTATCCTCCCACAGGCTGTCTGACGATTTATCTTACTCCATACTGGACATTAGATGGTTATTCGTGTAGCCGGTGAACTATCAGCAATTACCGTCAGATCAGGTTTAGTTTACAATAGATCTTGCCAGGTATGACTTGCGTGGGAATTCATACAATAATCTATATATAACGATATAAAAATCGATTAAGTATTTCGCATATGACAACCTTGCGCACATGATGATATCATATAAATACAAAACATGGAAAACTATTATTAACAAACGTTAAATCTGCAATTTTACAATTTCAATGATTTCTTATATAAGCATAGATCGTTGAACCGCATTACCTAAGTGTTAAGGTAGAAAATATATTGCGCAAGATACAATGGGTTGAAGAAATTCGATAAAGAGGAGCGATGAATAGCTCAACTGATTTCAGCAGCAGCACGGATCGTTATGATGCCGGTTCGAGTAGCGCGCGTAACGTCAATTTTCCGTGTGAATAGATTTAAATAATAAAAATTAAGAATTAAATTACGTTTGGTTACTTAACAGTCTTTTTTTGTTAGTGTAACACTGACGTGAGCGTAAGCCACCTTCTACTAAACACTAACAACTTATTATTAATTAATTTTAATTGTTTGCTGGTCGACAATTTATTTTGTCTAGGTTCTTCATGTTATATATATTATTTTATAAATAGCGTAATAAAATTATATTAAATTAAAGATTATCTTATCTGTTTGTAATTTTTTATTAACTACATTTTATGAAGTCTTATTTATTAAATCAGCGCCTTCCTTCTTTTCAGGTACTACCATGGGCTATTCCGGGCTATTGATCAAACTTATTTTCGTTAGCTTATTACTACAAACGCAGAGTGCACCATCTAGAAGATCGCGCGATGCAAAACTACCGGAAGAAACGAGCACAAGTCGACAGAGCAAGTTACAAGAGAAATTTAAAGAGACCACTACCACAGAAGTGACACCTACAAATAGACGCAATAAAGCGTTGAACCTCTTTGGATACTTCCCGTCCTACTTATCATCGGGTCTGGATTACAGTGAGGACGATGATGATGACGTTACATTCTCTGTAAACGACGATAACTTCGATGACGATGACCTGTCCCGTACAATACCTTCGAGACGCCGGCAGCAGAACAAGAAGAAAAATGGCAACGGAGAAACTTTTCCCAACGACAACATTAACTCCTTGCAATACGACAACTCACCAATTTTCTACATCAGGCTACCTCCAACACCTTACATGTTTGTCCCGGGCTTGGGGTACGTTTCTCAGCCGCCGAGTCTCGGTCCACCGATGCCACCGATGATGCCCCAGGGTATGGGACCTCAAGACCCCTTCATCAACCTCCCGCTAGACTTTGTTTCAAATGGAAAGCCAACTGGGGTGTACCAGTGGAGCGGAGCACCACAATTTCCCCAAATGTCACAGATGCCAATGGGACCATTTAGTTACGGTGGGCCTCAGCCAGTCATGTCTCCAGCACCTCGCCCTGGCTACAACTCCCCAAGTTATTCAAAACCGAAGCAACCAAATAACTCGAAGATTACCAATTTGAAGGGGCCGTACGTATTTAATGGAAAACCAAGCGACAGCGTGTACGTGCTACGAGACACATACAACTCCATATACTCTGATGCTCTACAGAATTTCTATCCTTAGATAAGTTTTATTGGTTCATAAAGCGCAATGGCTCGTATCGAGCTCGAGATTTATAAAAATTCAGTGGCCTAATGATGTATACATAATTGAAAGATTTTGTAATTTATAACAAGTTCGGAAGTAGCGTTCTCTGATAATAATCATATGAATTCAGTTTTTTGTTATACTTAACACTTTTTCAATACGTACTTAGACATTATAAGGGTATCTAGTATAACAATCTGATTGAACTAGAAATGAACTAGAAAAGCAATTTATTACAGAAATTATTGTTTTAGTAGAAAAAGCATGATCCAATATTACCTACTGTTTAATATGCGGCTGACACGAAAGTGAATACAGTGTATTTGTGTCTGTGATTTATAAATATTTCATTTGACCTCTCACTTTTTATAAAATTGCAATTTAGTTGATGTACGTACTTATTGTATTATTTACTCAAATTTATCGAGTCAGTTAGTTATTTTAGTTAGTGATTTTTTCCAGATAAGTTTAATATATTTCGTATCTTCCATTATAAATCCTAGGAATATAATTAATGAATAATCTTTAAGTTAGTGTTAGTATTATTAATAATTATTTATGTGCGGCGAAATCGTAGGAATTTTAGAAAAAGATTAAATATTAAATAGAATGCGTAATAACAATAAGATATGCTAAGGTATTTAATTTATTTTTCTATATGTAAGACGTAGTTCAAGTATGTACAAATAAATGCTCAAATTACTAAAAATTCGTCCATGTTTTTAACTTAATGTCTTACGAAATGTTATTGTATTGTATTAAAATGAATTAATGGTAATAAAATATTAAACAAACGAATAAATTCTGTATAAACTAAGATGAAAGAAAATAAATAATTAACAATAAAATTGTAGTATTTTTTAACCAGAAAATGTTACCTCAAAGTAATAAGTACATAATAATATGATGTAGATATTTCAATCCGCACTCAATTACAGAGTATTTTTTTGTATATTTACGTAACATACTGCAAAAACTTTACTATTGCTACTAATATATTAATAAAGCCGAAAAGACTTGAAATTATTATTTATAGAATATTATAATATACCAAAATAAGTCTTGTGGGTAATCTTTCAAGTTTGTAATCAGATACAAAATTAATTTCTACATTCTATATCAACCCATAAACAATAAAATACTTAACCTATTTTCTCATTATGTCAAACGATATTGTTAGTATAAGAACAAGCAGATATAAATAATAATTTACAAGGCAAGCATCTAAATAATTATCAGAGACCATGATATTTTTTATACAGATCATATTCAAATTTGAGTTCCATCAAGTTGTATTATCTATGGTTCGCAAATTAACGTGACATTGACATTAACGAAGTGTCAAATGTGTCAGTGTCAATAAAATCATTATTCCACCTATTTCACCAAGTGTTATTTTACCTAATTGTAATAAAATAAATAAAAAAATATCAATAAAATAAAGTGGAAATATAGCAAATTTGAATGATGTGTTTCAATAAAAAGAGTGTTAAACAAGTGATTATGAAATCAGGCTGTGGAATATTACGTATAGCATAAGATGTTGCTCGCACTTAGTTTTTTCAAACAGGAAATAAGTATTATTGTTTCGTCGTAATTAACACCGCTGCGTGATGTTTCGGAGCAGGAGTTGGTTTGGAGGTGGGTGGGGACGTCCAAAAAACCCTCATTCTTTAGAAAGGCTGAAATATTTGCACAATATTCTGTGTAAAAATACAACTGTTTCCGAAAGTAATCGAGGGATACTGGTTGAGTCCTTGAGATGCATTGCTGAAATATTAATATGGGGCGATCAAAACGATAGTTCAGTATTTGAGTAAGTATAGATGTACCAGTATATAGATAATCTAATATTCAATTATACTTTTAAACTCATTGTAAAATTGTAGCAGCAACTGCTCATATGTGTAGAGTAGATTATAGTTTTTGAGAGTTGCTAATATTTCAGATTGAGAAAAAATATTTTGTAACTTATTCAGTGTTCTTAAAAATATATATAATCTAGTGGCTAAATCTCAAATTGTATATTTAAAGAGAATGAATATATTTTCTTACAATATACTAATTTTATTTTTACGAAAATATTTTCAGCTTCTTTCTCGAGAAAAACATGCTATCATATTTCCTAAGGATAATGAGACAAAAATGTGGAGGATCTTCATATGTATGTGTACAGTTGCTTCAGACACTCAATATCCTATTTGAAAATATAAGGAATGAAACATCTCTATGTAAGAATTTTATTAATATGAATTATACATGCTTATATAAATATGAATTTGGTTCCAGCCATATCTTCATTTGAGTGTAAAAATTCTGGATTTCTGGTTATGTTTTTAGTAATAAACTCTAATTTCACTAAAATAGTTCACTTGCTCAAAACACTTTTATTGTAAGAAAATTTTTTGTCTATCTCTAGATATTACACATGTTAGTGAATATTGTTTTATACAGACTCCATATATAAGGTTTCATTTCCTTATCAAATACATTACCTTACTTGGGATTACCAGTTATAGTGATTCTATTAACATAATGCTAAATTATTATTATCGTACGTCACGTACCTGTTGCTGGTTTTATACCGTAAAAGTAATTTATATATATTCTTTTTCAGATTATCTTCTGAGTAATAACCACGTAAATTCAATCATAGTCCACAAATTTGATGTGTCTGATGAAGAAGTAATGGCATACTACATTTCATTCCTCAAAACACTTAGCTTAAAGTTAAATAATCACACAATACACTTTTTCTACAATGAGGTAAAAATGGCTCAAAATTTTATTATTTGCATATAAATATTTAGCAATAATAATGTAAAATTTTACAGCACACCAAAGATTTTCCATTGTATACAGAGGCAATAAAATTCTTTAACCACCCAGAGTCTATGGTGCGTATAGCGGTCCGTACTCTGACATTAAATGTATACAGAGTACAAGACGCTAGTATGCTTCGGTTTATAAGAGACAGGTATATATAATCCTTCTTTTCTGTTATTCCATTACTATATACAGGTTGATACCCAAAACCTCTACAAGTGGAAATGGGGAAATGGGTGAAATGGTCAGCTGATGACGTGGACTGATCACCCGTCCTACCACAGGTGTCCCCGAAAGAAAAAAAAAAAAATAATAATATGATATATAGCAATGTTGATTCATTAGTTTATTTAAATTACTTGTCTCTGTAATATTTATTTGCTATTAAATCAAAAAGAACTTACTAATTATTTTTAGGTAGTTTACATGAGTAGGAGTAATTTTAATTAAACACTTAACTTAACTGGTTCTAAACGCAAAGTATATAAATTAACTTATTTTTACAAAAATTAACTATAATCCATCGTTCTGCACCGATTATGTCAAAACAAATGAGGCTATTCTTGACATAAAAATTACGCAGACTCCATCACCAGACCTATCAGGAGCACTCCTACTGCAATGCATTCAAAACATCGGGTTTTTTTCTTCAGATAAATTAAAATAGTTTATAAATATATATCGCGTTTTAAACTTTTTAGTGATATTTTAATGTATTTTAAACAATATAAATATCTTCTGTAACTTAGATTGATTTAACTCAGTATCAGGTCATTTCCTTTTGCCTGAGCAAGATTAGAGTTAATGTAATGACACTTATCACTTTTACACACTATTACTTATCTTACAACAATTCACCTTATGACTCTTTTATCTTTAATATTCAAACATATTTTTACATTCTATTATCTCTTACAATAATTGTATTGTTTTCAGAACCGCCGCGCCATACTTCAGCAATCTAGTATGGTTCATAGGGAAACATATTTTGGAATTGAATGCATGTGTCAGAAACGATGCAGAGTATGTATTGCTGTAGCTTATTACTTGTACACTGAGCGTCTATGTGGCTTAATACTTAAACATAGCACTTGCAAAGTTAATACTTTCGGTTGAGCAGGGCACTATGGTCTAACTACTAATTAAACATAGAATATTAAATCCAAATGTTAAGTAAAATAGACGCATAAGTTTCACAGAGGAAATGGGAATGCACTTCATTTATATTATGTAATATGATAAAAAAAGTTTCAATCAAATGCCGTTCCGGGAGGTTCAATGATATTTAATTGTATTGTCCTGAAATTCTTCTTGACGGTTAAATATGACTTAAAATAGTATTTTAATTTTCAGCCACCAATCACAGCAGAAATTGGACGATTTAGTAGCCGAACATCTCGACCATTTGCACTATATTAATGACATTCTCTGTCTGAATATACCCGATCTCAACGACGTACTAACAGAACACCTTCTACATAAACTTCTCATACCGCTGTATATCTATTCTTTGACGGAATCTAGACGGCCCGTCACCTCCTCCCCTTACAACCGCGAAAACATACAAAGCATAGAAGTCATCACGCGGAATCTGGAAGCAATCTTATCTGGTCGAAGCCCCGCAGATACACCGCCCCGCTTAAAGTATCCCATGCAAAAAATGGAATCCGAAGACGAGCCGAAGCCCTCCGTTTCTTGCGTGGTTGCTCTATTTCTGCTATCACAAGTGTTTCTCATAATAACCCACGGACCGATAGTTCACGCTCTGGCCTGGATTATTCTGCAATCAGACTTGTCAATATTTGAGGAAGGTGCGATGAGCATTTTAGAAAATTACGTGAGTACAGCGAAATCCACTGTCAAGCTAGAGTTCTCGAAGCCGCAGTTGAGTTTAGAGAAAGCTCTAGAATGTTCTACCTGTCACGATCGTGATTATACAACACCCGAATATAGTGGGGCAAAAGGATTCGGTTATGACACGGATCACTCGAGCTGTGACCTAGATCCAGAGCTGGTTTCGAACTCTCTTCCATCCACTTCGCACATCAGCGAAACTTCTAGTATCGCGCACGATTCCACAGAGGATCTGGTCACACAGATACAATCGATAAAATCGCCTACCGTTAAAGAAAATATGCCAGACTCTCCTTTACCCAGACTCTGGCAACGAGTCTTCAAAGACAGTGTCGAAATTAAATAATATAACGGATGAAGAGAAACAGCAATTGCTCGGATCTATGACAACTACAGAGAAAGTATTGACGCTTGAAAATATTATAGAGGAGGAAGCAAAAGAGATTGAGAAGAAGCCGTTTTTGAAAACAATTTTGGACTCACTTGACTGTACTGACGACGACTACAAGGCACTGTTTGCGCTATGCTTATTGTATGCACTCATCAACAATAAAGGTAAAAACGAGAATTATTATTCTATAAATCTTATATAGTCTATTCGTTTTACTAATGACCATAAGAGTATTACAAATTGAAACAGTATCAAGAAAGGTTGGTGCCACGGTATTTATGTTAGTACAGCGACGACACATTACGTTATTATCTTTCTAAATACATTTTCAACTGCTCTTCATTGACATAATGTTAAAAATTATTAAGATTAAAAAAAAACGATTTCTGTACTGCAGCTCTTAACAATTTAATTACCTTGTTGTTCACGTCATTGTCGAATTTCTTCAATTCACTAACCTCTAGCATAGTGTAATTTCAAACTTAACAATTTAATTTTTATATGTTAACTTATTTGCACGCATTCGGGAAATATTAGTGGGTAAGTAACAACTATATCGGCCCTTATTACATAGAGAAGAAAACAACAAAATGTAAAACAAAATCAACTTTTAGGTGTAAATAGCGAACTACTAGATACCTTGTTGAAGTCTGAAATAGACGATAATGGAAAAGTGATAGTACCAAGCGAAAGACAACATGAAAACAACGACAGCCAAGAAGGAACGTCGCAGCCAAAATTCAAGGACACATTTAATGCTTTATTGATTACTAAGTTGATGTCTATAGCTCATCTAAGTTGCAAGCCTGGTAAGGAATCAGCAAACAGCCCTACAGCTTTACAATATTAGTATAGATTTGTATGTTGTTGTTATGCATCGAGAAATTTTTGTCTTTCGTTTCGTTCACACCGGTATTTTGCGAACATAGGGGTAGAAAACACTTTTATCATATTTTCTTGAGATAAAATTAAAGAAATAAGTTTGTGCTATTCAGTAAAACTAATATTATTTACGACTAGCTCATAGAAGCAAATAATAACCTTATTTTTTTAAAATCGAAAATAAATTGAAAAATATTTTCGACTTAGGCAGGACTTGAACCGGCATCGTCAGCGTTCCGTGCTGTTGCTCTGTGCCTTTTTCAAAAATGTTATAGTAGTAAAACATTACTGCATGCTGCTTGTTTGAATTAAAAAATAAACATTGAAAAAACTTTCTTTGTTTAAAATGTTTTTATGTACTTTTAGCATCAAAAGTGCGTCTAGTAACGTGTGAAATAACAGCCCGTCTGCTGAAGGTAACAATGGAAGGGTCCGCTGGTGTTGCCAGTCCCAGGCATTTGGCAGCAGCAGATAACCTTAGAGCGCGTGCCGCATCATTGGCAAGGAATTTTTACAAATGCGATGACATCTTTTTGGACATGTTTGAGGATGAGTAAGAGAATTTTGACACTCAGATGTTAATACTTATAATATTCATTATTGAAACCTTTTAGTATACACATATATTTCTATGTTCATTGCACTAGTTTTATTTACTGACAAGTTATTTAGACTTCTGTACCCTGGCGATTGATGGTACATATTATAAATAAGACAATAGCCGTGGGTTTTTTAAAGTGTTTAAAGTTATAGACGCAATGTAAAGCAATGTTCAGTCAGGATGTAGTCATAATGAAATTACAAATAAGTCTTTACTATTTTTTAATGTAGCTTTACTGCTTTTATATGTTTCTTTAAGTCAACTTTTAAAAAATACGTTACATAAGTGTCAAAGTCAGATTTTAATTTCAGATATTGTGAGATGTGCAAGCGACCACTCAACGTGGAATGGTTGTGTATGGACGCAGCTATACTTTTGCCGCCTACCAAAACGCCCATGTCTGGCATCGCTTTTGAGAAAAGGTTGCCTAGTGGAGAGGTAAGACTAAATTAAGATGACATATAATGTATAATAACCCCTTCGTGCTGATTTAACTGTCTATAGTTTACGCGAGTAGTACACATTTAAATAAAACACTTTAACGGTTTAAAACGTGATATATTAGTTAAACTTATTTGAAAATGATTTTTTTCACGGGGAGACAGCCGTGACCACGGCTGCTGCAAAGCATCCGAAACGTCGGGCAGAAGTTAAAAATCATTTTCAAATAAGTTTAACTAATATATCGCGTTTTAAACCGTTAAAGTGTTTTATACAACAAAACTCTTGCTAAATTATATTATAAAATCGAAGGGCTTCCTACTTTATAGCTTTTGTTTAAATTTTTTTTTTTGGTATAGATGGAACGAGCTCGTCGTGCAATCCGCACTTTCTTCCTTATTCGCGAGCTGTACCTTAAACTTTCTGGTAAACCAGAGACACAGCTACCTCTAGCAAACCACTCGCCCTTTGTTCAAGTCGGAAAAACATTGGATCTCAGTAAGTAAAATATTTTATGTCAAACTAAATTATGTTACGTCTTCTAAAGAATTACTTAAAAATAGGTAAACTCTTTTTTCAGACGACTCTGACTTAATATCGTGTGATATAATCCAAAAAGATGGTACATGGCAACATCGTTTTCTAGCGGTGGACAACATACAAATCATTCTGGTCGAACCCGACAAACAAAAGCTTGGCTGGGGCGTTGCCAAACTCGTAGGAAGCTTACAGGATTTAGAAGTAAGTGTTTATGCTCAAAATAATTATATATATAATTATAAAATTATAATTCTAAATATGTTTGTAATATTAGTATGTATATTGTTGTAAATTTATGTTGTTTTCTGAATAAAGTATTTCTATTCTATTCTATAGACTTAAAGGGTATTTATACTAAATAGTTCTCAGTATTATCCGATAATGACATAGCATGTCTATGACTGTTTGTAACCCCATATTGCTTTGATAATAATATACAAGAAACTAATATATAAAACTGAAGAGTTTGTTTGTTTGTTTGAACGCCCTAATCTCAGGACTACGGTTTGAATTAAAAAATCTTTTTGTGTTGGTTAGAACATTTGACGAGGAAGGCGATAAGGTAAAACATCGCCCTGTGACTAATACAAGCGAAGATACAGCGAGAAATGTGTAAAAGCCGCTTCCCATACTTATAGAATGGGCTCTGCCCACACACTTGCGCCTATATATTACTAGTTATTAAATTAAAGTATTATAACTCTTATACTTAATTTAGATAACCGGCGACAAAGAGGACCCCAGATGCCTACATCTAACAATACATAAACCCCGCGTGGGTGCCGGCGGAGTCTCCCCTCGCACTGTACTATTACGAGCCAAGTTCAAATTCGATGACCACATACGAAGCATGGCCGCTAAACAGAGGCTCACTAAGGTTAGTGTTAGTCATAAAGAATGCGTTAATTAAATCACCTTCTCTATAGAACTAATAAAAAACTTAACCTATAAAAACAATCTAAGCCCAACACAGTTTATGAATCGAAGATGTGTGAACGAACACATTTCTATGTCCATTTTACTTATCAATAATTCATCACACTTCTTTACTCCACAACAATTCAATTGTTTTCCCATTAGTCGAACCCGGGACCAAACATAGTTAACGCAATTCTAAACAATAGACTTAATCTTTTAAATAAAACACTAACGGTTTAAAATGCGATATATTAGTTAAACTTATTTGAAAATGATTTAATCCGACGTTTCGGAGAGTCCGAAACGTCGTTACCACGTTAAAGTGTTTTATTTAAATGTGTACTACTCGCGTAAACTATAGACAGTATTTAATAGACTTCACACACAGAATCATTAACCTATAGAGGTGGATGTATTTAATAAAATTCAGGCCAAATAGAAAAGGAAATAAATAAATTGCGTATCTTGTAAATCTTTGTATAGCTCTTGAAGGAAATTTGTTTGCGTATAAGAAAATTAAAATAATTAAGTTGGGGTCCCGTATGTTTTGTTTTTGGGTCTCATATCGTGGATTTCAACTTATAAGGCCATGAGGTCACAGTATAAAAAAAGTATTGATCTAGGGCCGAACGAAAGCTCGCCAAAAGAAGATGCAACATATCGGTCGCTTGCTCGAAGTTTCGGGCATATCCGCTCCGGCTGTTGCGCCTAGACACCGTCCTCTTTTTGCGAGGCCGTCGCTGACCACAGTCAGAAGACATTCTGGTACTTATTGAATTTATATTAGAAATAGTATTCGAATATCCAAATTCAAAATAGGTCGACAGGTTGTCTTGCTTAGAGTTATATGGCTTAGCTATTTCACTTCCCATCAAGAACTCCTTGCTTATATGTTTTTCTCTATAATAATATAAATAAAAAAATCAATGGGAGTGATGCTTTTCTGTGAAAACATCTAAAATTTGACAGGTATCGACAGCGATGACGCTGAGAGGCGTTTGCGTCGGCCAAGTGGACACGTGCTAAAGGACGGTATTGTTGTATATCGCGAAAGAACGACTACTAGCAGGGAGAGGTAAAAGATTTTTTACTTAAATAATCCGTATACCACTAAGTAAAGAGCTAACGTGGATAGAGTGTGTTATATATTACATGAGAACAGAAGTTTAACCTAAAAAATGGCAATTTTAATATTTAAATAAAACACTTAACGATTTAAAACGCGAAATATAATAGTTATCTTATTTACAATTTATTTTAACTACGACCCGACGATACGGATGCTATGCAGCAGTTAAAATAAATTTCAACGTTAATTTAAATGTGTACAACTCGCGTAAGCTACAGACAATGGTAAAGTTTTTACGTTAATCGTATTTAAGAATAAATGTATATGATCTGCCCGCTGTTGTCTACTTTTATTAATTAATTTATTAAAATGATCTATGCACAGTGGCTCCGGAATTTTAAAAATATTTCATACAGAAAAAACAGATCAAAATTCCTAAATGCCCTTAAGACAAAAAATATATAAAAAGTAGTAAGCACCATGAATAGAAAAAGGTTTATAAAAATCAATTGCGTTATGTTGCATTTACAGCAGTGTATCTCGCAGCAGTAGCGGTCGTGGAGAAGGGTCGCGACAGGGTTCGCAAGAAGAAATCCCGCTAGAGGACATTCGCAGGAACCAGGCGGCCGCCGTTCCCTCCACTAGCCGCCAACATGTACAGGTACAACGACTAATTATACATACATATATATTACTAGCTGTGGCCGCGACTTTATCCTCTTAATTTTGATAAATTTGGCCTGTTAACCACTGTCGTTCCCGCGACTTCATCTTAAAAGATAGACATGTACTGTTTAAGATCGTTTAAAGATGGATTATTCATTAATACATTTTTTTGGGTATCTAGAACCGTTTTCACAGTGCACGAGATGAATGATGATGATGATTTTTCTGTTTTTTTTTTAATTCTCACTATTCCGCATCGTGACGTTCTATAACCTAAAGTCTTCCTCGATAAATGCTCTAGCCAACAAAAAAATAATTTGTCAATCCAAACCAGTTCCTGAGATAAGCGTATTCAAACAAACAAATCTTCAGCCTTATAATATTACTATAGATATTAATAACGTATATTGAATTATACAGTAAGTACAGAGTCTATAAATTAAAAATCTATTTAGATTAAAATCGATGACACAGCGCTCTGTGTTGCTGCTCTGACCTACGGTGTCGAGTTCGAAAAATCCTGATGTCAATACTAAATAATATTAGCAGTATATTATGTATATTTTCTTTATTCCAGAGTGTTCCAACGACATCCCAAACCAGTAAAGTGACCCGGACGTCATCAGAAGAAACCTCGTTTATATCAGGCGAGTCGCGACCCAAACGACGAGGAATTATTGAGACCATTTGATATTAGCACGACGAATTTTGGTCCTTAAGCTGAAGGGCTATAAGGTTGAAAATATGACACGGAGCATATAAAATATTACTCCTGGCTGAGACATCAGACATTAAACATTTAAGTATCGTGGGAAACACTTTAAAATGTTATAATTACGTAGACACGGAGAAAACGTAACTTCTATCTACGAAATCTATTTTCTCTAGAAGTAGTTACTACTAAGTAACAATGCTTTCAGGTGATATTTATTTCCTTTTTTACAGTAACAATTGAAAGCAACATAATTTTTAAAATCTCTCAAATATCTTTGGAAATTGATAATTTTTTTATAATATTGTATTTAACTATTTAGACATAAAAAAGCCAAAACCTTCAGAGACATTAAAGTCGTCAAATCATTCTAACATTCCTTCCCCATCTAACTTCACGATCATGATCTCGATATCATTCTGTTATATATATTATTTTTCTTTCTAATACAAGTTTAACATTGATTTAGTTAACTTAATCACGTTTTAATAATAAAACATGTTTTACGTGATCTACGTTTGGTTGTGTTTAAATTTAGTTTTATAGCGAATTTTAATTGTGTGTGTGATAAATGTGTACCCAAAATCGATTTTGGATTTTCATATCCGGGGATTATCGATACGTCATGTTACTTGAAGTCGAGGGAGGTGGACATTTCATAACGACACATTTCTTTAAAAGTGCAAAAACACAACATTAAACTAAACTAAATTTGGTGGAGGAAATCTGACCGAAGTAACAAGTTTTGACAGAGACGGGGTAAAAATAAGTAAATATAACGTGATGTTATTAATAGATAATCCCAACCAACTTTGTTATTTCAATTATAATTGAAATAAAACACACTATTCATTAAACATATTGCGTTAAACGTCCAATCTTCCATATTATCAAATTATTTTTTTACCTAAAGCAAAAATGTATTTACTATTATAGTCACGTATGAGCGAAAAGGGTTTGACATGCAATATTTTTGAATTAATAAATTAATTTCAGCGCATACAGATAGGCTGGATAGCCTTTAATTTTTAAACACCTTGAAATTTTACGGAAATCTAAACATGGCACCATATGTATTTATTCATTGCAATCAGTTAGTATTGCTTGTAGTTGAGTTTGTGAGAGACTTATGAAACTAGACGATAAAAAAGTGGCGAGTTTCTTGTTAGTTCTTCTCTTTTGTTCTAAGGCCTTCATTATGAGAACTGGCTGAGAGTTGACAATTACAATTAATATGTTTGTCAAAGGAGCCTCATATATTTTGAAAAGCTGTCTAACTTTAAACTGTACCATAATCCCAATAATTATTAACTACGTAATATTTAATTGTTCTGCCTCTCTACAATCTAACTCATCTTTTATTTATAGCGTTTCTCTGATTTTCAATGAGTATACATTAACGTGTACATCAGCTATATTTTACAGCCATTTGTGATATTTAAGTATTAATGATGTGTATAGTAAAAATTATTTTGTATATTATTTTTTGTACCATACTAACTACTGTAATTGTTTCTTTGATTTTTTTAATATTTTTGGTTATATATACTTAACATTTTTGTTTTTACATACCAGTCACTTCTTATAATTCATAATAATATAAGTACCTAACAAAATTATCCTCGTAATAGTAATATTAATGTTAAATAATAATACATTAAGCGTTTAAAAAAATCCTGGTCCATTAAAATAAAGTATTTTTAAGGCATTGTGTTTCTGAGACTGCTTCGATCAACAATACAACTAGAGAAATGGTCGCAACCTCATACCTTCATTAATGTGTAACATTATCCAAAAGTTCAAAATGTATAGTGTAGTAAAATTTTAAGCTTTTTAAGTCAAATATTAAGTTCTGAATCAAATGATAAGTCAAAACCAACCTTAACATTTAACAAATAAAATACGTATTTCATTATATGACTCATTTTGTGGATATTTCGTAAGCTCTGATATTTAGTCGTGTTGTTGATCGGAGTGATATTGTCTGTTATACCTACTGGACTTGACTCATCAAATAAGAGTTTTACATAAATTTTTTTTTCTCCAAAATGCTATTTACTTTATCAGCCTACTCTATAGTAAAACTAAGGAAAGTTTCATTTGAAATGATTGAAGAGTAACAAATATCTTGAATGAAAATTTCGTTTCCGTATGTGTCAAACTTTTTGTATTTTTACTGTTCAGTTGTGATTTATGTAGTTCACTGTAATGTATATAGTGTAGGTGGGAAATATATGTCATGTTATAGCAAGTCTTTGATTTATTGCCTTCAAATTTCAGATGTTACATATTTAGAATATTGACAAACTAATCTGGGTGAAAGTACACTGTTTTCTTTTGGAGTCTAGAATTGAATCAATGCAAGACTCATTGAAATAACAGCTTAGCTCTACTAATGTTTCGGATTTACGATTCTCCACATGACGTAGTCATGATGTAGTCTAGAATACTGACAAACTGTCCTTGATCTTTTTATATGATTAAGGACGACAAACAAGCGTAACTAACTAAACCAAAAAATGTTTTCAAAAAACCAGACTTATATCATCTCAACAAGTGGCGCCGGTAACCTTCTTTGGCGTTTTATTGATTACGACAATCCCCAGAATGAAATCGAAATGTGGGCGATTTTTTGATACTACTACATTCACCATCAAGATTTCCAAACGAAATCCAACATTTTTCAGAAAAATTATAAACTTGTTAGTGGCGAATTTACTAATTACTACCGTTAGGTCTTTGCGACCGTTGTACTGTATCAAATACGTCTTGTCAGCTGAATAACTGCTTATAATAGCTTTGAAGCTATAAAAGTAATTGTATACAGGTAAAAACCAAATGAAACAATCATCATAACTATTGTTTCTTCTAATTTATTTGATTAATCATCTGCTCTATACACATGATATGCACCAATGCCTATAAATTATACAAACTTAAGGGGTTTTGTTAAAATCACAAACGAATTTCCATTGTCATATAAAAGTGGTAAGTTGAGCTATGAATCAATCTGTATCAACTTCATCCGTAGTAACATGCTAGCAATGTCTTTTTCGTGTTGAAATATAAATCCTACTAGATATGAAATAAACAGTTATTTATTAAAATCACAGTAAACTTCAGCATCGGTACTGATTCTGCAGTGCGAAACGTTGGAAATCACAACTAATAAACAGTAGTTAAACGTCAGTTGACGATTGCTTATAATCATACTCGAGTAGATATAAATCGCATTAGAAACATGGCTTAAGTATTGTTAGTATCTTAACATTCCCTATACCTCAAGTGGGTATCTAATATTTCGTTTTCGTGTACAAAGTATTTAGGCTCCTTTTTACAAAGAACTAAAAGCGTTTTAGACTTACTCGTTATATCTCTTGTAACTTGAAAAGAAACAAAGTTTCTACTACACCTTAACTGTTATTGAACATCTTTTATTGGTCTGCGCAACTTATAGTACACTAGGATAAAACAGGCTTCTCACTATAATAACATTCACAATTAATAACTGTAAAATTATTGCTGTAGCTGTTAAAATTACCTTTAATTTTACATAAATAATTATCGAATTCTAAACCCGAATTAAACTGTCTATTTGAATATAACACTACCTACATAACATAAGTTTAAACCAAATTTATAATTACAATAGGGGAATATTTTTGAACATTAATATACTTACGTGTTAAACAATTAAAACTTCTATTTCAATCTAAAACTTTTGCGAACTTTATTTGTATATTATTAAATCGCATGGTATTAGGCCGAGTTATGCATATGAACATATCGTAAGAAGCTAAGCACACTCTACTCGCAAATTTCTCTATCTAAGCACTTGGAAGCACATGCTTTTGCCGCTAAAACCTGAAGTACTTATTTAAATACGTTTAATGAATATTCTGCTCCTCATATCTATCTTGCATTTAATTTAATTAGTAGAAGTTATTATTACAGTGTTTTTACATAGTATTCATATGTAACATAGATGGTACTTATTGATATTTACAAAATTATAAACATAAAAAATTTCTAGTACTTCAGATTTTAGTATGAGTTATTCAAAGAAATAATACTTAGGCATAATATTGTACACACTAAAAGGAACTCATGAAAGGTGGTTATCGTCGAGTATGCATGATGCCTGCTATATTATGTAACAGTTATAGTATTTCACAATAATTATGTTATTTTTACAAACCGCGTAATCTATCTTAGGAAGAAACAAGGTGCGGATTAAAAAATTACAAATAACGCTGACAAAACGTGGGTCAGTAAATATCGATCTCCATAAATTTCCAATATCCTTTACAAATTAGATGACTCTGTAAAACTCTGTGAGAAAATTGTGTAGTTATTCGAAAGTTCAACAATCAGAGCCGGAAAGTGCGATATACTCTCAGAAATATTTAATCTGGTAAAATATAAAAGATTATATAGAATAGTTTCGAATTAAATAGGAAAATGTTAAGCTCCGGCATCGTTCCGGCCCCTTTATGACATAGAAAATTTTGCTGGTAGACAAATATATTTAAATCACCCTGTCACCAGAATATGTGCGCTTAAATATTAAAAAAATTACAAATATACGCTTTTGTGAACTAAATCTTTTTAAAAAGGGCTGGTTCTAACAGAACGCCTTTACGTGCCACCAGTATAATAATAATTCTAAATAAAGCTCATGTTTTTCCTTAACGTCTATGTTAGGTGGCTACAATTCATTGAAAAATATTTCAGTTTTAAAGAAACATGTGTTGACATGTCATATAGAAGTATTAAAGGGGAAATACGTGGCCTACACTGGACAAAACAATTAACCGCTAACGTATTTTTAAATATATGAAGTCTAATGCAATTAGTGCAATAAAATACAAAGCAAAGTTAATATACTAAATATAGCAAGTTCTTCTATGCGACAAAATAATGTAAGTAATTGACAATTCTTAGATTTAAATAAATATAATAAACAACTATACATATTCAGATTATCAAGTTATAATTGACAAAACTAATAAAATAATTTCTCATTAATATAAGATTTCGTTTCTAGCGCTCGAGTGAAACGGAGCTCACATTTAAGTCTAGTTAAAACCTGCAGATATAAGTACAATTGATTTCACTACGAAAGGTGCAAATATTTCTAAAATATATAATATAGTATATTTATAAACAGTACACTATATGTGCCTTATATAATGCACGAATAACACATAATTTATCGTATCTCCTTATACATAAAAACGTAACTGTTAAACAGTACTATACATCAATTTTCATGTTTAGCTAACTATATAAGTAATTTAATATAAATATTATTTGGTGTTTTCTTCATAGTTCAAGCGTTAGCGCTTTTATTACATATGATAATTTTTTAACAAATATTTAAAACTTATTTCATAAAGTAGTTAAAATTCCATTCTTCCGGTTAGAACTTAATCATAAGAGTGCTATTATAATTACACGAATTCTTTGTTTATTATAACATATGCTCAGTATAAATAGAGAATCTATATATAACGCTTGAACTATTTATAATCGATTGGTTATTACACAATTAAAAATAAAATCAACGTACATACGCCATAACACTTTATACATCAGTTAACAATCATTATTGTCAGTTATAAATCTATTTTTATGAATTTTATATTTAAATATAAATTCGCATCTAGTAGTAGGCAGTTTTAACATAATTATTTTATTTATATTACATTCAATATCTATTTAAATACACATTCAAATAAGATGCAACGGTGTTGCGGAGTCGGAAGGACTGTAATGCGTCGAAATTTCTCTCTTGCACCTTATTTATAATGATTGTCTACGATTATGTTTACGACGGATATTCTAGCACATTCAAAATCACTACGGAGTTAAAGTTTTACCTCACGAACCCTACCTACTATAAGATGACCACGTTCTTCGGATTTATGTAGCACAATACAAAGGATACCGAAAATTGAGTGTTCACTTATCCATCACTTCTGTTTAGCTGCTAACCAAAAGTCTTATATTGTGTATTGAATTGTGTTTCAGCTGAATTATTGACACCTAGCGCTGGTGATAATGTATAAAATAAATTATTAGTTATAGAAAATGTTTGGATACAAGTTACGGTGTATCGGGTCTATATCGTTGGATTCACGAAGCTTCGTAATATAAAACATCAAATCTTGCATATTATATAAATGTCAGGCCAGCCCAATTATTCACAAGACACCTTATAGCCGCTGTGACAGCTTAGTCTTATTGCTTGGTTAAGATCGCAGTTGCGAAGGACTGAGAACCAGTTCGCCGTCGGGTCCGCCTGCGAACGACACGTTTCGCGGCGGTGGACGTTTGCCAGCACTCGCGCTGGTATGCAGCGCAGACGCAGTTGCAGTGCGTGGAGGTTGCGCCTGTTAGACAAAAGATTCTTTTAAAACAATCGCTGAACCACTCGGGATCCGAACCCACGATACCCCCATAAATGGCAATTAGACTTGCGTTATATTTATAACTAGCTGTGTCAGTGACTTCGTCCGCGTAGAATAGTTATTTTAGGCATCAGAATTTCGTTTTTGCAAACCTCCACCTTATGTTTATAAATTATAACGGCTACCCACGACGTCGGTCGTGTTTCGTCTTTCTTATGGCGGCTCTACACGTTAGCCAACATTCTGGTACCCAAATAGATCACCAACCCCCGTTCTACACAATGGCCTTTACGTATTGGCTAAATTCGCCAAAATGTTGGCTAACGTGTAGAGCCGCCATTACAAGTTAATCTTCAAAGATATACATATGTTTTTAGTTTCTTGAATTGTTTTCTTGTTCTTAGCTTCTATTGGTTGCAGCGTAATATTATATAGACTATAAGTTTCCTCGATAATTGGATATCCCAGACAAACAGAATTTTAAAATCAAACCGGCGCGCGGCGGTTCCTCAGATTAGCCCGTCCACACAAACAATTTCGTCAGCTTTATAATATTACTGAGTTGTTAAATTTCGTATATAGGTAATAAATATTGCTATGTACCTGTTGAACTAGAACAGTCTGCGGTTGAGGGTGGGGATGCGGCTGACTGCTGGTACGATACCGTCTCAGCCGCTCGTCTTCTTCTCCACTGGATAAGCTGGACACATCGCACGAAGAGTCTAAACGCCTCGCGGGGGAGCATTGTGCCGGACCAGCTCGAGAGCTGGTACACCCTCCCGCAAGGGGCATCTCTTCGCCCTCCACGCCGCCTGACAGTCTATAAAAATAAAGTTTATATATGTAATTTTTTTATGATAGAAGTGAACAGACAAGCTCAGAATTCTCTTAATAGAAGGAATTACCATAGCCCATAACTCGATACATCGTCGGTTTATTTTGGCTTTTATTCGGAATCCACAGACTGAACTTGATTAAACCTTATCGTCTGTGGTCCAGAGGTTTTTAGAAAAATTATAACAAACATATAACACATGATGGGGATTGAACCCTCGGCCCGTTCATAATTATTAGCCATACATTGCTACTATTAGACCAATGAGCCCATCAAAGTAAATTTAAAAATCGAGAATAAATTGAAAAAATATTCGACTCGGGCAGGACTTGAACCGGCATCGTCAGCGTTCCGTGCTGTTGCTCTACCAATTGAGTTACCGAGTCTTACATCTTATCGCCGAATTTTTTCAACTTATTGATACATGCACCTCACGCGCAATCCTGTCCGAGTCGAAAATTTTTTCAATTTATTTTCGATTTTTAAATTGTACAGTGCCTTCATGTGCAAATATACATGTAAAAAATAATAAAGTTTTCAAAGTAAATTGTTTAAGCTTAGTATAATTAACTTGAGTTAAAGCTGTTTATATCAAATTTTAATATCTTCCACGTCTTACATATAACTTGTACCATTGTACGAGTTTTCGCCCGTTACTATCAAGTTCGTTGGATTAAATTTTAAATACGAGAGTTTTTGACTTTACCATCAAGTTTGTTGATAAATTTACTAGACTTTTAGATCGAAGCGTAAATATGTTAAACTTTTTGAGAGAGTTTTGTGAATAACAAAAAGATCGATACATATATATTGTACTAGGCGTCTAGCATGTGCGCTTCGAAAAAAGGAATGTCTGCCTAAAGCCTTTTGTCGTTACTAACGCGGCATTAGCTTTACAATGCCATTCGATAAAACTAGAGGAAATAAGATAGAAGGGTGATACTGAGGAGAAAGCTGCAGTAGTTTAATAGGTATATTTACCTTCTGTTCTCCTTGTGATTGTTCCGTCGTCGACAGCAAGGCTTGGCAAACATACAGAACATGATACGCAGCAAGCAGCAGGCGAGACCAGCCACGATCAAAGACGGACCCACCAGCCGCAAAGCTGGCGTTTTGAAGCCCTGCGAAGGCTGTTCTTTCATGTAATACGGTACTCATTAGGAAGATGTAATCTATAAAGGCTTTATAATGAATTATAGCAATTTATTAGGTTGAATATGGGTATATTAGAATACAAGCTGTGCCAGCAACTTCGTCCGCGTATAATAGTTACTTTGTAATCGAAAGTAAACCCAAAAGTATTAATTCATTTTTCCTTTTTTACATTTCCGCTGTTTCTTCCTCTTTTGGTCATCGCGATAGCCTAAAGCGTTACTCAATGAATGCTTATTTCAACGAACTAGTGGTTCCCAAGAATAACGCGTTAAACAAACAGACAGACACGCACTTTATATAGAAGAAAAGGATAACGATTGGTAGCAAAACATTCGAACGGTTCATTTAGATATCAATGTTTACAATCTTAACTATTGAAAATTGGTGTAACATGAATGTAACTGAAATGTATTAAGTTAATTAGAATTAAGTTCAATATTCCAAATGCTAAGCTTAAAGTGTGTTTTAGGTTTCTGTTGGGTGTGACATCTTAGCGCGGACTTTTGTTCAACCAACCTTGTCGCCGGTCCCCACGAAGTACACAACCAGACCAACAGCTAGTGTCCCAAGACCAGCGTAAAGAAGCCGAGCGACACCCCACGGCTCTCCATTCGCTTCGTCGCCGTCCGATTCCGAAGACGAACCGTATGACGCGTCGCGCACCTTTAAGTTTGAATAAGTCTATAACACAAACTCCACTATATTCAAATCAAAGACAATTACTAAAAACTAGTTACAATGATTTAATATTCATTTGTCTCTTACCTTCATTAACTTATCATCCCGAAAACTAGATTTGACTGTGGATCTACTTTGATACTTAAATAAAACACTTTAAACTGTTTAAAATGCAAAATGTATTAGTATGAGATATTTACAAATTATTTTAACTACGGCCCGACCTTTTGGATGCTACACAGCGACCGTGGTCGCGCGGAGGTTAAAGATGGAGGGCGTCCCTAATGTCAAAGTAAAAACTGTTATGCCTAGCTCCTATGTTCCGTCGTATTTGACAAAACTGGGTCCTTTCAGAATGGAGTAATGGGCCGTAGTTAAAATAATTTGTAAATACCTAAGTTTAACTAACGCGTTTTAAACCGTTGCAAGTATTTTATACACTCAATAATGTGTACAACTCACGTAAACTACGAACAGTATTAAATTTCCTACTTTTCACTTCGAAATTTAAAATTCATTAGGTTTTAAATAAAATTGTGCGTGATTTCTTATTTTCTTATGCAGTAAATTTAAAACATACTATAAATATCAACGAATTTAATACAATTCTTAGCGCAATACTGAAGGTGAGAGGCGTATATTAATTACTATTGATACTTAACCTCCTGAACAACCCTAACCAACAAACATGCTAATATAAACGCTATGTTTAATAGGTTTTTAATTTATCATAGTTTATACACATACTACTAAAAAACCCTTAAAAACCGATTTAAATGCGAATTTTCAGGGTAGGCTGCACTATTTTGTTGTCTAAGGAAAAAGGCGTATTTTTCAGTTTTTATAAATTGGTTTATAAAACAATTCTTTGCTTGTAAGTCTAAGAGAACACTTTAAAGGTAATTAGAAATCTAAAACTAAGTTAAGATTGAAATTGCATTGCGCGAGAGATGCATGTATCGTTAGGTTGAAAACAATCGACAATGGCGTGCACGCCCACCAATTGAGCTACCGTGTACTACAGGACACGGTAGCACAATTGGTTAGAGCTAAAGCTCGGAACGTTGTGGATGCCTCGAGTCTGAGTCCTTCAAGTCGTACATTTTTTTCAAGCTAAATTCGATTTTCAATTTATTAAATAGGTAAAAACAACACAGATATAACTAAAGATTTATGTATGGACACATTTTTATCTCGTGTATTTCGGTAGGAACGCCTTTCTCCCGACTGACAAATTACTCTATAACCAACCTTTACAACCATGCTCTATACTTCTTACACCGGGCAGGTCCGACTCGGGCTAGTTTCAAAGGAATACGATCTAGTTTACAATACCTCAAACCATGCGGTCTACCTACGTCGCTCGCCTACTTGGTGATCGGAAAAGATAACTTTCATTGGGTACCCGGTTGTTTCTGTGCCACTTGGCCCTGGGGTCCCGGCGGGCCCCGGGATGGTCTCCGAGGACTGAGCATCGCCTGGCCGCGCCGCCCGCGGCTCCTGCCCCGCCGCCTACGGAGAGCGCCGCAGCTTCTTGCCACGCCGCGCGACCAGCGGCGCACTGAAACATTCGGTTAGACCCTTCAGTCCATATTTTATCATAGTCATTTCTATATAAGATACCAGTATTTACTGTTTAATATATATAACAAATTTACGCAAATTCAAAGTATTATATTTATACTAATATTATAAAGCTGTAGATGCTGTTTGTTTGTACACGCTAATCTCAGAAACTACTGGTTCGAATAATAAAAATACTTTTATGTTAGATAGACCATTGATGTAGAAAGATTTTTTATATATCATTACGCTGTGACCAATAGGTGCGAAGAAGTGGAAAAATTACATTTTGATGCCCAAAATAACTCCACGCGTATTGCTAGATAGTATACACATCGTATTGTCTGTAGTTTATTATGTTAATAAAATATCTACTTTTTAAATTTCAAAACATAGGATGGTAGTTATAATACGTGCCGACATTGAATGTATCTTTGTGTTGCAAAAAAGGGCAGTCCGGGCTATCTATGGTATGGGATCTCGGGAGTCATTAAGAGACACCTTTAAAAATATCGGCATACTTACCGTGTACTCGCAGTATATTTACGAAAATGTATTGTATGCCCATAAGAATAAAAGCAAGTTTAGCAAGAATAGTGTCAAACATCATTTGAACTTACGAAATAAGGATAAACTAGCTATCTCCAAATATAGGCTCCATAAAATATCTAATTCATTTGTGGGGAATTGTATTCGTATTTATAATACATTGCCAGTCGAGATTTCAAATTTATCGATAAAGAAATTTAAGAAAATTATAAAGATTGTCTCAAAATGCGTATTATTGTCTGAACGATTTTTTAATGACAAGACCACCTGGCAGTAATATAAATTGCTCCTGTTAATAAATTTACAAAAATGTATTAGTTTATAAGACATATTTAAAAAAAGCCGAACTGAGTTTTTTGGGTGTTCTTCTCAGTTATGTTGCTGTTTTAAACACTCTGTAGAAACACAACGAACAGACAGACAAACGAAAAAAAAATTGACTGATTATTTTGTAACTAAGGCCACTTTAAGCACAGTCTTAACTAAAACCAAAGATAAATTAGCCAGTTATAAAAATCAATTGGTAAAATCATGATTATTTGTTCAACTTAAAGGTCTTTAGGAAAAACTCGAACCCACGCGCAATGTGGATTCGAGTGTTCTACTGTGCCCCATCCGTATATATTGAATTTTTCAATCTACTTTTAACGTAATACTTAGCAAAACTGCACCAAAACCTTCATATAAGATTAAGCGACAGTTGTACATAACAATTAGTTAACGACAACCAGTATTGCCAAAAATAATTAGACTCTATGGCCATTCATGTCACGATTTCGATACCCAGAATATGAGAAAGTATAGACAGAATGGGAACGTAGCAACTTATATCGCTTATTGGGGGTACGGCAGTATTTCATTCAATACATCGTGATCGTAATAAAAGTGGTGTTGTTTATGGAGCCATTCCATAGGGATTTTGTAGGAATCTGAATGAAGTTCGATACAAAATATGACTATATATATATATCTGTATGATTTGGTTTTTAGTACTTATTGTGATATTTAAATCAGCAATTTATTGCAGAAAACGCTTGGAAAAGTTATTGACGATGTATTATCATTTTTGAATAACGGCTTAATCAATATTGATAAGATTTATTTGTGGATGATTCATTCTGGATTAACTAATAAATGTCTCCCGGTGACCATGGCTGCTGCAAAGCATTCAAAACGTCGGGCCGTATTCAAAATAATTTTCAAATAAATTTACCAAATATATAATATCGCATTTCAAACTGTTAAAATGTTTTACTTAAATTCTAAATGCCTATCTAACGGGTTATAACGCTAATTATATTAGTTTAACAATTGTCAACAACTATTTCACGCATTACAACCTTTATACCGTAAAAACTAAATAATACATGAATATTACTACTGTTGGTGGCAATAGCACGGAACACACAGTTGTAGGTACGGTACTAACCCTTGTCATAATTTCCATCTGTAGATTACATCCATTGTGATAAATATCATATATGTTAAATTTTTTTACAAATTCATATAATCTGGTTTCAATGTAGGTATTTTTTCCGAAATAACAGTTTAACTTTATGGTCGCCATTTTTGTCTGTGATAGACAAAATTTACTTAAACTAACTTGGATACCGGACTGGGACAATGGACTTTATCATCAATAATATTGTTGAAACAAGTTATACAATTATTAATAAAGCATGAAAATTACTGTTCATGTATATTACTAATTAAGTACATATTAGTCTTATATAACTATGTGTGATTTGTAAATGTAATATATTTTAAGTGTTACGTCTCTCATTCGTATAAGACTATTATAAAAGATTGATTATGGCTATAACAGCCTTCACATAACGATTATATAAGATTTATTGTACAAAGCTTAATTTACATAACTAAGTACGCCTTTCGTTTTTGAAGTTACATTCATGAAATAATGTTGGTTTTATCCAATCATACTATAATGTACCTACATTAAAATATGCGGACACATTTTGATTGTTTGTCTCGTTCAGTAGTAAGATATTGCGTGTTGTAATGCTCGTTGCAAGAATAGAGAGCAAAATAGAATACTTCTCGTTCCAAAATGAAATATAGTTTCAGGAGTAAGTACTACGAAACATTTTTTATTTGCAATAAAAAATTTGTCCGTTTCTAACTGATTTAAATCTTAGTTCTGTACATTGTAATTGGCTACCTTTTAACGGTTTGAAACCGAAGTGTAACACGGTACCTCAATTGGTAAGAGCAATAGCACGAAACGCTGTGGTCGTTCGTTATCAGCCCGTGTTATCGATTTTTTTTCAAGCTAATAACTAAATTGTGAATTTTTATCATCCATCCATTATGTGCAATTACATGTGAACACATACGTTTCAGTTGTTTTGAGAGTTAGCTTCCCGTCAACATTTTGTTAAACTACGAAGTTTACCAACTAGCAATAAGCCGTGCCAACTGTTCTCCGATACTGATAAAAGATAATAGCTAACTACGAGCCGACATGAAGTATTACTTGAAGGATCTCAATAGAATTTAACATTGACTACTTTACTTGTATGTGGCGTAATACATTTGAGACGTGTTCATCTATTAAACACTGAGATAAAACATTTAGTATGCAAACTTATTTTCTACGCGAAAGGTAAAAGATGCTCCTGACTTCCGTAAGGTAGAGAGTTCGATCACCAGTAATTTTGTTTTTTTTATACAGGAGTAAAGACCGTAGGGATTCACTTGACGGTAGGTGATATACCACAGCCTGTAGCAAATAAACAAGAGACGCTGTCCGCGTATTTTGGCGTTGGAAATTCGGAAACCCCCAACCAAAACCCGAAAGGGGAAATTTAAAACACGGCTTTTATGGACGGTGTTCAGACCGCAAAAACATGTTCAGAAATAATAATTACACCACCCGTTGATCATTGGCCATACCATACCATGAGACCAACGAGTCGGTCAAAACTGGGTTTATATCTACTGGGTATACATAACCCAGTAGTTATAAACCCAGCCTGTGTGAATGCCTTTCAAGCTGCACTTTTAAAGTTAAAAGTCGTTTCAAAATGTTCAGTAATATTTTAAGCTAAACTTCATTTGAAAAGGAACTAGGACTCTCTTTGAGGTGACGTTTAATGTTCGTATTTAATTATTCGAAATGCGGTTTGAGTTTTAATGAGATAAATGCGCAATAATTTATAGTACATAATTAAAATCATAAATACACGAACTATAATTAAGCAATAGACTGGTGGGCGTTGGCGATATAGATGTTTAACGAATATAAAAAAGATAAAAAAAGAATTAAATTTGCTTTTACACGCTAATCCCCGAAAGTACTGCTCGGTTCTTTTCAAGGTTTCCACCAAAAGATTAAATTGAGCTTGTTGCAACGGCTTTGTTGAAACGAAATTGAAAGACAGTAAATGTCATTTTTTTATTTTATTTTCTCCCTGTGGCCCAAAAACCACAAGCCATTAGGTTTATAGGGTTGACGTAAAAATAAGCACAATAACTTTGTTTGGTTTGATTGCTTAGAAATCATATTTTTAATATAGTAAAAATTAATTAAATAATTTTGTCGAAAGTCTTGTCGTAAACATATATAAATGACTTATGAATATTTGGATTAAAGTGTTAAATATAATAATTACTATCAAACGTTTATTGTAAAAAAAATAAGTTTGATTCCCTTTTCCTTTGGTAAATCTTTAAGGTAAAGATTAAAACCACTTCTCGTATTTTTAAACCTAGTTCAATTTTTAATCCAACAAATGTGCAACATAACAGTAACAAGTAGTCATGTTTTAGACCACGTAATCGTATTAAATGCTTTTTCTTAAAACGATCTCTTGAAAGTTCTTCGGGAGCTTTTCTAGTGTATAAATATTTCGCAATTAAAATTTTCCAAGTTCGCGTGGCTTTTGAAAGTTTCAACTGTAAGTGGTTACTCTACTTACGAGTAGACTTTTAATGTGAATTATTACGTTAAACTAACTGCTAACTGTATCCCCGTTGACAGAAAATGCTTACGTACGCTTGCATGTGTGTTAATACACACTAGATTCTCTCGTATAATTTGGACGATCGTCCAAAGAAATAGTGTTTGTTTATCCAAGAAGAAGGGCATATACAAAGAATTTACTTATGATATTCGATTATTATTGTTCGTATAAACAAAGAAGTATTTCTTAATATGTCTATTGTAGAGTTAATATAACAGGTCAATAATTAAAGTGGCTTGCTGATTAAATTTATAAATTTTAATCAGTTTAAATTGTTAAATTGTGTACTAAAGATATTTGCATTTAAAATTTGACGTGTAATAAAAATAATAATTTTTTACATTCTTTAAAAATATTGTTAAGGTTTATTTTAAAATAATCTTGTTACTATCTGTCCCCATAACCTAAACATTTATTTAGCTCTGCATGAAAAGATACTATAGCTAAAATGATTACATCTAAATAA